CCTGATTTGTAGGAATCTGAAAAACGCGTTTCACAACTTGTCTCTTATTTAATTTTATGCGTCATTCAAGATGGCGGCTCCCATATAGTAAATATCGTATTTATTTTATTATCATGTGTGCGCCAGCTGACTGTGGCTACTACGTTTCCCCACAAGCTCTACCGGAACGTATTGGTTAATGATAAGGCAAGTCGTCACCACTTAGCTAATAATTTGGACGAAAGAATACTGGCAGTGTGTGTGTGTGTTATTTTTAAAATGGGCAGTTCCAATAAAAGCAACATGAGCGCTCTGTTCAAAAAGAATTTAAAAATATCGCAGTGGATAGAAGAAAGATGAGAATTCAACAATTTATTTTAGAAGCATTTACTTTGAATGTTTCCACACTTACTATCATAATGGTAGAACAGCTTTAAGTTGAATGACTTGATATAACTCGATTGTAATGCTCGTTTATATTGACGAGAGCATCAACTATCGGTATCGGATTTACACAAATATATTACCGGTCGAAGTTACATCAAGATACAAAAACATTGTGTACTTCATATTGGCGCGTGTCCTAATACTAGTGTCGACGTCAGCATATTTATAAACAATATCTTATGAAATTCTTATGCTGAAATGTGTTCCCCGTTGAGTTAATGAGCTCCTACTGCATGCACGAAGGCCATCAAATTAAGTACTACCCTGACTTAAGATGAAATATATTATCGACATACTACATAACCTTATATATACATGTACTATGCAAGCCTGGGTATGGCATTATCATTAATTCTTTCATACTGCTTAGAAAATGCAGTTAGTGGTCCAAATATTCAAGTTTGTCACATCTGATTAATCATGCATATGCCCCTACCACCATGGACGTTGACCACTGACACTCCATTTTGAATGAACGTACAGACCAAATTCTTCATGTTGTCTGACAGGAATATGACATTGCATAGCTATAATGTCATACGGATGCCTGTAGATTCAAACACATACGCATACAAGCATACTCCCGAGAGCTTCTCAGTTGGGGTACTTATAGGCGTCAAATGATCCTGACCAAATGTTATAATTCAAAATCCTAAAATACAAGCGATGATTCATGAAATAAATAAATGGTTGTTAAAAGGTAAGTTTGGCTCGGTATTGAATAATTATACTGAATATGAAAGATATTAAGCAAAGACACAGCACATGCTCCGTTAATGTATAATCTGCATTCTCCAGTACCAAATGATTAATTGGTGTAAAACTATTTTATTACAGGTTTAAAACATGGATTGCTTTCAATGGACGGATATTCTAGAAACTGGTTATCACAAAACTAGTATCTGAAGCAGTCGCATGTGATACTTATCGCATTATTCCCCACCGCGTACACATACACACAGCAACTATACAAAATGAAACACACTGTGGTAAGAATTTGGTTTAATTGTTAATAGATGAAAATCAGTAGGAAAAAATCCAATAAAATGTATGTTACTATATATTCAAAACTACCTAAAATATAATTCTGAGATATGAGTAAATTATTTCTTCAAAACCATCACCCAATCAACACCTGTGTAAGACTTCTTTAAAATTCTCCATATGTACCTTGTGTATTATTGGGTATACAAACAGTATTATTGTTCTCTTCGTGTATGATCATTTCATCAATGACTTTAGATTTACAAAATGAGAAAACGGCGAGGTAATTTACAAAATCCTCGGCAAATATCTACCCTCAAATAGAAGAAAGTTAAACTAGTTGCATCCAATCGGATGAAAGATAACTGTGTTTCAATGTAAAGCTTCAAAAACAACAAAAAAATATCACGTAATAATCACTATCGAATTCCAAATAAGTTCTGCCTTTTTAAAAAAAAATTAATCACTTTAAACTTGATGATTTGATTGACAAAGAAATCATGATTCTTGCTTTGTGTTTCGAAAGTGAAATATAAACTAAGCAATAACAAACTAAATCAGTTATTTAATACAAAATATCTATTTCTACACATTTAAGCCAGAGAATTAGCATGATATTACAAGATAAGCACAACACGGACGTATGTAACTTATTCACGGCTGGGCTCAGGCTCGGGTACAATAAAACAAGTCTCGTGTATTCATGATTTGAACGAGGCAACTGGTAAGGCAATTATAAAAAAAACACATTCTGAACATGAAAACTCATGAATTTAGATGTAACGGATATCAATATCGTGATCTTCGTTAATGGCGATATCAATATTATACAACACCATAGTCTGAAAAAAGAAGAACATACACAGTTACGACGATTGGAAATATAAATATACACATGAAAGTACTTCATTGTGTGATTCAATTCAGTGCCAACGGCCACAGACAAAAAATGTTCAAACATGTAGAATATAATAAAATCGCGTTGTCAGAGTAATGCAACGACTATATAATTGGTGTAGTTGTATTATTATATTAAGTTGGTGTGACAATTATGATTTGCTAACTATGTAACGTTGAAGATGTAGGAGATGGAGATCAAATATTACAATATTTTGAGAGGTTTACTTCAACAAATATAAGTCAACATCTTTGACGCACATGACAACCGAAATCTCGTTGAGAACGAGAGAGGAACGGGACTTGACTCTTTCACTCAAAAGTAACTATATATTTTGAAACAGTGAACGAGATGACAGGAATGAATGAAACGCTATTGGAGGGACAAAAGTCATGTGACTCTCTCGCTCCAAACGAGATATCGAAGGCCATTTCTGTAAGATCAATTTATTTCAACACGAAGTCTGAGTTGGTACAGTCCGGGACGAAAAAGACAGAAGAATGCTGCTTACCTTCAGATTGTAAAGAGTATCTGTGAGTTCAACTTGCCAAGGTTGCAACTGTTGATGGTCGACGAACACCTGCCATACATCTTTTCTTACACCTAACATGGTAATGTTCTGTATGATAGGTAGGTAGGGGTCGTCATAACCCCGCCTGTCAGCCACATATGAAATACGATCCTGCGATAAAAAACATTGCCATATTCAGTTTCTTGGGTGAAACAAATAATGATGTGTTTTCGTTTGGGAATCCGTAAATGTGAATATTTTGGGTAAATCTTCCTTAACTAATACTTGTAGACGTACACGTTCGATTCATGATAAATTTGCAAAGATGTGGTCTGTGGTCAATGATAGAATCATGTTCTAATTCAACTTATCGTATCGTTGTCTAAAACCGCCAAGTTAGTATTTTTCAGAGGTTTAAATTGAAGCGGAAAAAATTGGCATTATATCACACAATCAGACAACAATAAATTGAATATCTGAAAACTTGGTATTCTCGGTATTCTGGAAATGACAAGTTAAATTAAACACTTTCGAAGGGTAAAGAGACATTACTATAATTGTTTTGACATACCTCTGTTGCTTCAATTCTTGCGAATATATCGTTCTGATATTCATAAGTGTCTGGAAAGAAATTAAATATTTTACTTAACGGGATTTATATTACGGATAGACAGCCAAATGGCATCCTGAATTTAAATAGCCATAACTCCAAAATTCTGTTTCCAGTGCTTCGGTAAGACCTTTATAGGTAAACATATAACCATGCGTGAACCATGAGTGGCAGTACACTATACATATGAGTTTTTATTAGTATTTGTATTAGCTATCACATACTGATTTGCACACATGATTATGATTAACCCTTGAACGCCATCAGTTTTCTTATCAAATTTTTAACAGTTTTGTGTATTTTTTGTTGATTTTGTATCAAATTTCCAAATTGCCTGCGGGTTTTCGAGAAACAGAACATGGAAATAATTACGCAGATTTATATGACAAAACCTTACTTCTATGTTCAGAGGGTTAATTGTTCAAACCAAATAAGTTTTTTTGGCTATGCACAAGGAAATATTTATTTGATTAGATAAAGAATTATGCTAGACCTTGAACTCTAATGGCCGCCGAGGTCTCCTTAAGAGGGATATAGCAACCAGACTTATTTGTTCCCCTCAAATAGTGACCAATTCCCCCCCCCCATCAAATGCACTCTCCCATTTACCATAGTTACTTGGACCAGGAGATCAGTGTATGCGATGACGAAGGAGAATGGAGGGGTGAACACAAGTCTCGTGACTCTCCCGCTTTCAACGAGATTTAGGCGGTCATTTATGTTAATTCAAAACGCACTTCATTATTTCCTGAGCTTCGATCACGTTTTTTTTCTTAGTTACGATAATCATATATGTTTACATGCACAAATACTGATAACTAATCAAAATTATTTTTACTATCTCAATAATAACGACAAGCGTGCAAATGGAACACTCACTTCTCGACTCGCCATCATCCCAGAAGAGATCCCCAATGGCCATGCCGTTGCTGTAATCGTAATCTGGTAAAGCTATGATGAGACCCATGCCCATGTAGCGACTGAAATATAGACATAAATAAGGCATCAATAATTATACATTAGTAATAATTTATAAGATAAGAGTATACAACGTAAATATATATAAACTGTGATATACAATAAAGATTTTGAAATCTGCCATTTGCGAGATTTGAATATTATTTTCGTACGCATAGACTGTGCTCTGTGAGAACCACTGCGTTGGTATTACTGTGCCTCCCTTGATGTAGATGGGTATATGGTCAAAGGGCGCATCAACGCTGACATAACGTCTCTGACTTGTCCTAGCAAGTGGGAAGCCCTAATAAAGAACGGTATAAGAATAAATATATTGAGACTAAAATAAATACGGTAAGGTGGTTGGATGGTAAATAGGTCATTAATCCGTAGATTGTTCGATCAAAAATTAAGGATAACAAGTACTTACGGTCCAATAATCGTACCAACGAACGTCTGGAAAGTAAGCATTCACTTTAACTGTGTCCTGATGAGAGAATGGGAAATGAAATAGTTATGGCGTGTATATGCATATAGATGTGCATTCGGCAAATGTTCATGTATATGTTAAGTCAGTACTTACAACATCAAGGACAGGGGCGGCCATAATTGCATCTCCCCACATGAGTTGACGATCAATATCCCATGTGTTGGGGTCATTTGGAAATCTGAAATGTACAAAAACAGTATGATTGATTGATTGATTGAATGAATGAATGATTGATTGATTGATTGATTGATTGATTGATTGATGTACGTGGTCCATACTCTTCTTTAGCTTGTAGTCCACAATAATATCAATGCAATATTATACTCACTGCCCAACTAGAGACCTAATAACAGTTGAACCATTAACATGAGCATGATGGAAAAGCGTGTACAGATAAGGCAGGAAAATATAACGCGTCTCGATGGCTTTCTTAACAGCTATACGGAAGTCGAGACTGAATCGATCAGCCATAGGATCTTGGTCCTGCAAGAAAAATAGTATCATGATTTAAACCCGGATGTATGTCTTTATTATTGTATCTATAAGTTAAAGTGTTAGTAAACAGTGTAAAGCAGAAATCTGTACCTAAGTTTATAAACATATTCTTGAGTGCCGACCAGCTTTCATTCAAATTCCATTATTTGAAGCAACTATAGCTGTGATTTTGAACTTTTTTTTTAAACATAACCACATAAAGATGGCCGAAATATTGTTTTTGCGAGACGAAAACTCAATGGAAAAACAGTTATTAGAGCCGCTCTAAAACCTCTTACGAAAACGTCTTCTAAATATTCTCATAAGATCCTTCATTATTTTGGCGATACTAATATTACTTGAATAGTTTTCAATTTATTCAAAAGTTACAGGCATTACACAAGTTTTGTTTTGTGTCTTTCATTGGTCACAAAACCTTGGCATAGAAAGATTCACATTTTTAACTACATTTTTGTACAATTCCAATGGAATCATAGTTCCTATAAGAATATGTCAGACGTTCTTATAAGATTCCTATCAGACAAGTATTAAAAGTCATATACGAATACTAAAGAAATTAGAACACTGAATCAGGTTATATGTTTTATTTAAGATTTATACACTTAGTATATTGTTTTAAAGGAAAGTGGAATAAGAAGTACAATTTTATTTTCAAAACCTCACAATTGTTTGTCTCTCACTTATTACTAAACAGTATTCAAGTACATACTAGTATATTACACATACAATATTTTGTACATGGTGATAATCATTTAAATTTTGTTTTAAATTCGTGGACAATTACTATAAAAATACTATTGGAATTATTCCTATATGAATGTCATTTTATTCCTGTAGTATTTCTATGAGAATACTTATAGTATTGAATTCTTTTCTTTAGGTACTAGCCGTCCGTTAAGATTCCTATATAATAGTCCTATAATAACTGCCTTTTCTTTAGGATGCTATAGTACAGTCTATGGGACTTTGCTGACCTATAACACACAATGCCACGTCTTTGTACATGTATCTGCTGTAAATGTGGGAACTTCGGCACTTATGTCATACGCCTGAGCGCCTTGTTAAAAGACAAGCTGTACTTACCAGTTCGTCGCGCACGTTGTGATTTCTAGCAAATGGATAAAACATTCCAAGTTGATGCCAACGAAGACACATCTGTTCGTATGCCTCCCCAAAATATCCACAGATATTCGCACCAACCTGCAAAAAAATACAACCATAATACACATGAATGTTCGTTACTCGCATGTTTGTATTAGCTGACGCTTTATTTCATCGACAGGCATATTGCCGATACACCTTTCCAATAAATCGCGCCCTCTAGCGGCCACCCACTTCTGTGACGTCAAATGGCGTAGATTTGAATAGTTTAGTCGTTCGTGATTTAGAATCTTTCGATAACAATATTTATATTGGCGAGCGATCACAGATCAAGACAATATCGACATTGAGAGCGGCGCCATTTACTCCCATTTACGTCACAGAAGCATTTCGTCGCTGAGGGCGCGACTTATATGGCAGATGTTGAAGTTCCGACCGTTAAACAGATTTGTGAAGTACTTACGTATGGAATACCAAACAGTCCGAACTCCAATACGCCTGTAAAAAAAAAATAGGCATGGTGAAGTGTATGAAGTCGGTCACGAGTTGTCATTTGTTTTGAGAATGTTTTAATTGGGATCAGGTTAAATATAAACAACTTTGGTGCTTGAACTTGAATTCGAACTCACGAGAATATGGGAAATCAATTAGTGGAGTAACATTTATGAGATGTGTTTATGTTTTCTTGAAAATGTCCTTCCTATGACTGTAAATAGTGCATCTTTTTATCTTCGAGTGGTTTACATCACATGTTTGACTCACTTACCGATGAGTGAGTGGTGCAAGTCCGCCCATGTAGCCATATTGTCTCCTAGCCAATGGCCAGCATACGCTCCGGTTCCAGGGAAGGCTGATCTGGTTATAATAATACCACGTTTTCCTGGTTCAGCGTCACGGTATGCACTGTCAATAAATTGTTATTATATTTAATAAGACAGTAATCACTACGTACAAATTATTGTATCTCACCGGGGACGTGTCGATGAAATGGGTTCTGTTTTTAGGATTTTAGTAGGTGCCAAATACGGGTTATATTTGTGATAGTGATGTACATATATATGTATAACCATTTTCCTTTTTGGTATGCATGTCCCAATTTCCTTTAGAACATCAAGTTCAATATATATTCAATACATACACCAGTCTAGTACCTTAACAAATCTCTAATTTTAAATATATTGTAACCCTTAAATTATACCTAAGCAAGAATAAAGCCCCCCCCCCGGTGTCACCTAGATCACTTACTCGTGCGCTGTCACTGCCATCTGATGCCCATACATGCTATGCAAGTTATAATGTCGATCGCTTGACTGTGTTGAATCCATACATATTGTTCTGTCCCACATTCGACGGTCGTGCATATCTAAATAGAAGAGGAGAAACACACGCACACATCCATTAATAGTCATCGTAACATTTATGTGTTTACAAGAAGGCAGCTTGAAGATGAACTTAGAGTTGCAGATATGCATATACTAGAAGAACTAAATTGTAGTAGATCGGATGAATTTCATGATATCATCATATTTCCTGGAATATCATATTGAAATCGTGAAAAAGCAGATACTTACATCGAGGTACATACACAGGATAGTTCCAATCGTTTCTCCAACAGGAATATCGAGCGCCATGACGGAAGTTGTCTGGTTCGTTTGATTTCTGTGTTGTTGTTTTTTTTTAAAAAAGATAAAAACGATCATCTGTAATGGTGACATTATCTACAATTTCTATCCCGGTTGACAATGAACTAGAAGGGTCACTAAAGCTGTATCCCAAAGCTGTTGGGGTGAACATTTGTATTATTATACCAAATAAATCTTGAATCAAAAATTGTGGCACACAATCGTGCATAACAGTCACCCTGTAGAGTAGAGTCGAACCCCGGGGGTTATGGCCTTTCAGCTTGGTAGAGGAGCAATGATTAACTTTTTGTGGGCTTTATCATCAACGCTTGTTTTTATCTCAATTGTTTTATGAACTAGTATAATTTCAGTATGTACAGCTTGTCGAAAAACTACTTTTATAAACACATGCGGTGTGATCCTGTGCGCTTCCTAGGGGTTCAGTCGTACACAAGACGACGTTCCACAGTTTGATTATGTCAATATTATTCTTTTTCAACATACATAATATTTAGACATAATGGCAAAAACACACAGAATACATAGCAAACTCACGGTACCACGCCCCGAGTGCCTCACAGCCACGATTCATCGACTCTATAGAGGGACGAACAAGGCATGCGCAGACTGAATGTCTTAATTTGACAGAAAAAATCATGCGAAATGCCTACAAAATTATAGCATTTTCTCAATTGAAATATCCATATAAACTAGTGCAGACAAACAGTCATATTACAAACATTGCCACGTACCGTGTCCCTTGACAGATTATTAGCGTAAATCCATAGAGGTAGACTTTAGAAAATCATGATGTCAGGTAGATATCATGATTTGAATAATGTCCACCCACAATGCGCGAAACTGATTGCCTGCAATGGTCATGAGATATAACAAAATATAATATAAAACTACTTACCAGCCACATGCCATCAAACTTAACAAGACTGTAAAACTTTTTGACTTCATCTTTATAAAATGCCTGGCCAGCTGAACTGTCAAAGTCAGGATAAGCCACCCATCCAGGCCAAGACTAAAAATAAAAATCACGTAAATGCCGCGAAAAGTGCGTTCATAATAATGCTTAAGCTTGTGTGTTGAGTATGTGTCATGTTCCGGGTCGCCGATGAAGAACTGCATTATGGGAATTCACTCCTACCACCTCTATATTCTGCTCGGTAGTCAACCGTAAACTAAACCCTGTAGTTATTTTTTTCCAAAGATATCACACATACTTAGTATACTAAGAATAGTTGCCTGAGTCACGACGTCGTAGCAGCTTGCAATGTTCGGTGTGAGGCGGGGAAATCGCGGTAATAAGAATGCATAATACGACCCACTACCTTACCTCTCCTTCTAACACAGTCTCGTTGTCGGGTCTCGTGATAAAAGCGTTCAATCGTATTCCTTCTTGGTAGGGTTCATATTGGATATAGGCATCTACAGCTATACCTGGGTTCTGGGAACAGTAAAACAAAGTTACAATCCTCTTGAAAGCCTCCCGCGATTCGTGAAAAATTCTTGCGATAAAACAACGAACCTAATAATTGTCCATTATATCTAAGAAACAAACTTGTTGGTCTGCTTAACAAAAAGATAAAGTGAATAAACTTACGAAAACAAGGACGGCGTGGTAGCCGTATCGATGGAGAATGTTTTCAACATAATCGTTTAAGTTGGAAAATTGTGATGCCAAGGTGAATTCCAGATGCTGATCTAAGTAGTCATTGTCAGCAAACTGGGCATCCTGTGTGGTAATATAATGTCAGTAAATACATAATCAATACAGTCCGTCTACGTAATCAATATAATCTGTTTACGTAATCAATATAGTTCGTCTACGTAATCAATATAATCTGTTTACGTAATCAATATAGTTCGTCTACGTAATCAATATAATCTGTTTACGTAATCAATATAGTTCGTCTACGTAATCAATATAATCTGTTTACGTAATCAATATAGTTCGTCTACGTAATCAATATAAACCGTCTACGTAGTAAATTTTTAATGTCTTCAGAATTTATTTATCGTGTCGCATCCTATTCGATTCTATCATATCATATCGAATTCTATTCTATTCTATTCTATTCTATTCTATTCTATTCTATTCTATTCTATTCTATTCTATTCTATTCTATTCTATTCTATTCTATTCTATTCTATTCTATTCTATTCTATTCTATTCTATTCTATTCTATTCTATT